GTGTTCGCACTTTTTGTCACCCACTTTCAATTCAAGAACCAGAAAAGCTAGAAGGCTGAAACTTCAAGAATATGTACCCATACCATGTGCGACCCTCCTGTTTTAATATCATCCCCCGTGGACGTCTGGGTGCCGCGTACGGATGCTTTGAGGAAATATGCAAACTTTTTGACGGGAAAGCGATCTCGGGAACCAGACAAGGTAGGGGCTGAAACGTTGTGGGGATATTCCCTGTGCAGGCATTAGCTAAAGATTTCAAATTCAGCCCCCAGTTTTGCGTGGTAATCACGTAAGAACGTATGAAAGTTTCAGCGGAAAAATTGCTAACCCGGGAACCGGGAAAGCTAGGAGGCTGAAATTTTGGGGTAATATCCCCTTAGATATTTCAAATCCAGCTCACAGGTGTGCGTGATTCTTACGTACGAGCACGTGAAAGGTTTGGCAGGAGAATTGTTTACTCGGCAACCAGAAAAGCTGAAAGGCTGAAATTTTAAGAGGACCTTTCCTGTCCACGTGCAAGTTGAAAATTTCAAATCCAGCTTCCCAGACACGTGGTGTATCTACATACGGGCATGTGAAAGTTTTTGCCGAAATTTTACTAACTCGGTAACCAGAAAAGCTGGAAGGCTGGAATTTTAGAGGAATGTTCCCTGTCCAAGTACAGCTCAAATATTTCAAATTCAGGCCCGAGCTATGCGTGGTACTTGCGCAAGGGCATATGGAAGTTTGTGCGGAAAAATTACTAACTCTAGAACCAGAAAAGTTAGAAAACTGAAATTGTAGGGTAATGTTCCCTGTCCATGTACAACTTAAGTATTTCAAATTCAGCCTTGAGGTGTGCGTGGTTCTTACGTATGAGCAGTTAAAAGCTTTGGCGGAAATGTTTCTCACTGAATAGCTAGGTTACTTTTAAAGAACGGCCGTTAAGTGAAAATTGTATATTTACTTTATACAAGATTTATGGTCATTTATGCTAGTGACCGCAAAAGGTAGGTGTGAAGCAATAACCATTCATACAGTTAGTGACCTGAGTACTTCAGGTCCGGTACAAAAACGCATGGTCGCACGGGCCCTTCCGGTGCGTTCCAGCCTGGGTTTTACCGTTTATCTGGAAAAGATGCTTACACAGTTAATGGGTCTTTCGATTTCTGTGCTTTTTTAATACTGAAGTTCCCCTTTTTCCCTTATCTCATTTTCCCCTTAACTTTTCTTGCCTCAGATCTCTGCACCTTTCGGTCTCCTACCTATCTGAGGTTGTAAACAGCCATTAAATTGCAGCTGAGCATTGTTATGAGTGGTAATTTTTTTTTTTGAAAATCGTAGCAGTTTGCGCTTTGGCGATGAAATTAGAAATGCTTTTTCGGATAACTGAACGAGCTTTTTTTGAGAAGCCAGTTATGAAATAGCTGCCCTTTTTCCTGAAATATTGACATTCTTTGGTGGTCCAAGTGACTTTTTTAATTCCTTTATAAATGTGAATATGCTTCCGCAAAAAATGAGATGCTCTTGCATTTTAAAAGTTTTTTTTTTTTTTTTAATGCGAATGTTAATTGTATCCAGTGAGAAAAATTGGCCAAAAAGGGATTTTTGTGTAAATATATGCATTTGAGAGCTTGCTCCTGAAAATACAGTAAGTCATCGAGGCGGAAAGGTTGTAAGCATAAGAAATTGTTTAAGAGATTGTAAAATTATACAGAAAAATATGAAAATTCATCGAGTTCGACCTTTGATGATTCCTGCAACCATTAAGAGCCGAATTACAAGCTCTCGAAGTTGGGGTTTGCTTTTTTCTTTCCTATGGGGCAAAAACCGTCTTATAGAGAATAAATGTTAATAATCTGAAATGACAGAAAGGACGTCATGTCACAAGGAAACTATACTGCAGCCACTCCTTACCTAGATGGGATGAGCACAACAATCTGTCAGGAACGAATGGTGACGATAATGCATTTTGATAGGTTTATGTAATCGCATAGTGATAAAATGTTTAAATGTTGTCAGATGATGACTCGGACGGTGTTTCAGGACGAACACACGAGTGGCCGTCATCAGATTACATCGAGGATCGTCTGAAGTGAACCAGGAAGCAGTAGCACAGGGTGTGTGTGTGTTTGTGTGTATCTGTGTCTGGATGTGTATGTTTTGTGTGCTGCCGGCTCAAGCTTCTTTCTGGATCCATCCGGCGTTAACTAGTGAAGAAAAGATTTATGAAATGGGCTCTACAATTTGACTGCCTGCAAAGTTGTTTGTATGTTTGAAAAATAAAGGTGCAGACTAGTGCTATCGTTGCACACAACAAGCACTTCTGGGATCCTTCCAGAGCGTGATGTATCATCACATTTGTATATTGTTTTTGCCACCAGCTTGCATTCGCCTGGGCTAGTCCTTTTCACCTTCCTGTTTGTTGTTCTGTCCCCTCCTCCGAACACAGCTGTTCTCCTGCCGAATACCTACCGCAGATTATTTCTCCACATGGATTACTTCGTCCAGAACAGTGGACCTAGCCGTTACGGCCCTGCTCAATGCAGTAATTTCATCGGCATGTCACCCTTTCAAGGGGTGTAAACTTGGGACACACATATTAAGATGCCTGTACTGCTGAGAGCTAACCGGGATTTCGGGAGCGGGACCGCACATCTTAATCATGGCATGGGCAGTCGTGCGACAATCGCGTCGCGACGATCGGAACTGTTCCGGCAGTCGTCCACTGACGCATCCAGTCGAGGTGGTAATGGCAATGGCAGTTCATGTCGCCAGCCAGTTACGCCTGATGTGGCGCTTCATGTGAAGACCTCTGTGGGCGCAAACAGTATCACTCCGGTGCGACGCTCTGCATCTGATTCGTATTTCAAACGGGTTCGACTGTTCTACAAGCGTTTTCATCTCAATTATCTATTCCCGCTGGTATTTATGATGCTTTATATGTTTATTGGTGCTTTACTGTTCCTCTGGCTCGAAAGTGACTCGGATCGGACACAAAAGCTACACCATCATAGGCAGTATTTCTATGAGAGGGAACTGTTGTTTAAGCGAATTGAGCATGTATTCTCGGATAAAGCATCCAGGAAGCCTAGACAGAGAAGGCTGTTCATTCAACGAGCGCTCGAGTATTTTCATCAACGCATCAACATCTCATTCTCAAATCAGTCTGACTGGTCTTTCACAACCGCACTCTATTATTCTGGAACTGTTTTTACAACCATTGGTTTGTTCCATTCATTCTGTTACCGAAATATATGCAACACAGTTGTAGTCGAGCATACACAAGATGTTTAAATTTGTGGCGCTTATTGCAAAGAATAGACAATTTTGCGCTGATTCGTCACTGACTC